AGAGCACAGCCTTTTGTCGAGCCTCAGGTCACAACACTCCTGCTCTTCTCCAGTGTTGTCCACTGATGAGAGCCGGAAAAGGACAATTCACAACTCTGGACGGCCTTCCCCGTTTTACCATGGCTTTGCTCTGCGACTTTGGATAAGTAACTTAAGTGATTTGTGTTGCCACGGTATGGAGGAGCTCTGGTCACGGGTTCAGACTATTATCCTCCCAGACTTCCTCAGGACAGAACATTGTCATAATAACGTCTCTGGGTGAGGTAAAGCTTAATTATGGGCTTGCGAAGAATTTGGAGCGTCTGGGAGTTAGTGAAGACGTGTTAAGAATTGTTATTGTAAGTTGCTTTAGACTGGTTGGGAAGAGCAGGTTTGACAGCTTTAGACATTCAGCACTTTCCTGTCAGAGACAGCACTGCACTTAGTTCCCTAGCTAGGTGTCATTTCACCTAAAATGCAAGTGAGGGAGCAGAGCAAAGATACCAGCTTTGTGTGGCGCTTACTAGGTGCCTGTCAGGCAGGAAAGGGACTGCAATTCCTCCAGCAGAACTGGAAAGTCAGGCATTTACGCTGAATCCTCATGCGGAGTCAACAGCGAGGAGTGACAACACTGTACGCCACTGCTGACTTGAGACTCATTTGGGTGAAATCTGTTGGAAGTCAATGTAAGTTTTGCTGCTTATTCACTGGTGTTGCAGATTTCACTCTCTGGGTCAAATTTCCCAGCTGTAAGCTTCTGGGAGATGCAGAGAGAGAACACACACACACACGCACACACACACTTTTTTTTAAGATTCCATACAAGACTTCCAGTACTTCTTTTATTATAAATAAAGTTGCATGAGAAATGCGTACAAAAATTCAACAACCTGCTTTAGAAGCAGCACTTTAATACAGAACCTTTTCCACGTGTATCCTTTAAAAGGAATAGGATATGGGCGTTCTAAAAACCCCAAGGAAGGGGGAGCTTGAGCAGCAAGATACGGTACTTTGTACTGTTCCTCATCCTCCCAGCTTAGCCCTGCACAATACAGTACAGGGAGACCTCCCTTCTGAGCTACTAAGTTTACAAAAGGATATAAAAAAAGTCAAGTAATAAATAAGGCTGTTTACCACATATGGCCCCATGAGAACCTCCAAGCAAACAGTGATCAGCAGCTATGCCATAAAGATCGGCTCGTTCCTCCACGTCTTATAGATTGGACACTAACACATCAGAAAAGCCCAAGCGGAACCTCATGCCCTGCCTGAATGATGGACGGAGAGTTCTCTTTATGGAATACACGAGCTGCACATGGAATGGGGAGGTAGATACCTTGTCCCATGGCTGACGCGTGCTGAAGCGTGAAACCTTCACCTTCCCCCACAAAATGGAAGAGCCTCTATTAAAAGACATTCAGCTCATGAATAGCAGTAACGGTTTTAGCCCAAGGTGTTTCCTGCACGTGAATAAGCCCCTGAAGGCTGCACGTTGGGTCCATGCCTGTAATAAAAGATTAAAGCAGTAACTCTGGAGTAGTGGCAGTGGTTGGACTCTATGGAGACAAACCTTTGCCCCTCATGACAATGTTCCCTGGGGAAAACAGAGAGCAACAGTACTACCTCAGCCAGCAAGAGCAGGGGGGTCAGTACAGGATCTGTGCAGTTTTAATTACAACACAGAGGGTCCCTCATCTTCCAGTGGATCGAGCCCTCAGGGCCTCAGCGTTACAGCTTACGAAGGACATCCCTTCCACCAGCTTTACCGAAGCATGCTGTGGGAATACAGAGCACTTCCCCCAGGCAGAGGCCTTTCGAGCCTGAATCTGCAATATGTATCTTTAAGATGCCCCTGCTGCAAAATAAGTACCTCATGTTCAAGCAGCCTTTGCAAAGCCAACTGGATCGATCCAGGAAGTCCCCACTATTACTTCACGCGTAGCTAACACAGGGTAGTTTGCAACATTCCCCTCCCCCACTGCCTGCAGAGGGTTGCAAACTCGACTTTACAGGCTCTCCCCAAAACCACCAAGAACTGAACTGCTGCTGAGACGTCCACGCCGCTTTTAAGTGGGTTTGCACCCACACTTTTCACAGGGGAAGTGGCCTTTCCCTCTCCTTTTTCTTGTATTAATTTTTTTCATTCCACAACGTGTCATTCCCTCCGTCACCTGGGTCATGGATTTCTTTCTATGCTTCGGACATGCTGCGTTTGGACGCCTCACAGGTAATGGGACACAGATTTTCAGTTCTCTCTAGCTGTAACGGCAGCCCACTGAAGAGGGGCCGAAAGCCACGCCCTGCGTGTGACAGGTCTGTGTGACAACAGGGCTGGTGAGGACACCGTTCGAAGCACTGTGAACACAGCTGCCATGGGAGGCACATTGCTTTCGTTTTTAAATGCTCCACAGAGCTTCTGATATTACTGCACATCTCTATTGCTCTCAACCTCCGCTTAGCTTTTTGCTCGTGGCTGTCCAAGTCGCCCTTTAGTCTCTTGCGACTGGTTTTGGATTACCCATCATTGATTAGTGGTCTATGTGAGGGATGTACGAGTGTAGCCACTTAATTGGATAACCAATAAGCTTATTGGTTACCCATATGGTTATACCCAGCTCCCAGTCTGGCTCTCCGGGAACCGGCTACCACCCAATGCTGCTGCCTCTGATGCTGGCTTCCTGGCAGTGGGATGGCAAGCGGGAGCCAGGAGGAACTGGGAGCCAGCTTTTAAGCCAGCTCCCAGTGCACACCAGCTTCTGGGGAACTGGCTGCCGCTCTGCACGGCAAGTGTGTATAACTCCTGAAATTTTTCAGTGGTTACACAGTTAGCCAATTACCCGCATTTTAACATGCCTGGTTTGTGCTGATAAAGCCCCAAAGCCCAGCAGCGCTAGCTACCTCCTGCCTGCCTGATGTCAGCTGGACATGCCGTGTCACTCTCGTCCTATTCTTTCTTGAAAAGAGACCTCCAATGGTGTGGGGCAGTTTGGAGAGGCAGATACACGGCGGCTGGAACGTGGAGCAGAGACCAACAACTTCTCTTCTCAAGTGACTCAGGGGCTTTAGCCGCAGCCATTAACCAACAGCCCGTCTCCTTCCTTTTTTTGGTTAAAGACTGCAGCAGTCACTCTCTGATCCGAAACGTGAATGTCATAGATCAGGGCGTAGCTAAACCAGGGCGGTCACCTAAAACCCCTCAACTCTTGCCCTAGGGTACGACAATGTGAGTCGGAGGCTAGCTGCAAGCTAGTGGCAGAAGCCAAATGTATAACCCCTTGAATTTTCGGCCCGTGCGCTCTACTTTTGGGCATAAGACAAACCCCTTTCTTTTGGAAGGGGGGCTCTGGGCCTCAATCCACATGGAGGAGATAATAGTTCCTCCTGGAAAGGGGACCATCTCTTGAAGGCTTACTCTCAGCACTAAAGGGATAATTACCCCAGTGGCAGAAAGGGTCACTATCAAGGAGATGGGATGAAATCTACTTTGAAGAGATGCCATAACTAGGTAAAGAGGTACCACCCCTGCTGTCTATACAGCCAGCATGGACTGAATCCCCCTCTTCTACAAAGAGAGCCGTGTACCAAGACGAGAGCCCTCGCCTCAAAATGCAAAACAATTGAAAGTTTGCCACATTGGGAAGCCCAGACTTGATTTTCCGATTCCTGCAGCTGCTGGAAGCTTGAGAGGTGTTGTCAATTCACCAGGCTTTGGTCCTACAGGGCTGCGAACCTCACTTCACTCCAGACGAGACTCCTAAAAGCAACTGATTGAAGCAGCAGTGTTTATGAGGACGAGAGGCAGGTCTTGTCTGGATGCAGTCGGAGACCTTACATGGGGGGTGTTTAGGAGGTGGGACAGGGCCTCGGTTTTTACTGCAGAGGCTAAGAATTTGCCTCATCCAGCTATAAAGCTATTTGCCATTCACCCTTGTGCACCAGGCTTCCTTAGTCCTGCTTACCTTGGTGCGATTAAAAAAAAAAAAAGAGAGAGATCTCTCACCTTGCTAGAAGGCCGTTATATTTGGGCTCATTTCATGGCAGCAACAGTGGGTTCCTCTATACACGAGGCAGCTGCTTAAGGGCTAACGGGTTTTTTCCCCTCCCTTAGGAACCTGCTGTTTGTGTCTGTCTTGCTGCTCAGAGAATCACAACATCAAAAGAATGCTTAATTGTGTCATTCAGAACAGCAGTGGGATCCTGTCCTGAATACATTCACCCTGGCACGAAATCCACTCCCCTGCCCTTTACCGGGACGATAATGAAAGAGAGTGATGATATGGTCTCACAAATGTATCCTGTCCCAGTCTCCGGTACGTTCCCCATGGGAGAAGGATTTTGCAAGGTACAGGAAGTGTGTATTTGAGCGGGGGAGGGAAGGGGAAGAGTTGTTTAGCTGCAGCTGAAAATCCTACTAAGCAGGCACTTTTGCAACTTGAATTTCCATTTGTTTAAAAAAAAAAAAAAACACCCCCCCACCTGTGGTTGATTTCAATGCTGTTTTCTCCGTTGCTACATGGGGGACTGAAATTCATCTGCAGAGTCTGGATTTTAATCCCCACGCTCCCCCAAAACAGAAAAAAACCCAACTATTACTAAACTTTCAAGCTACATTTCCCCAGCAGTCACAATAGCTGTTGCTCTTTAGAAGTAGACGCTTTAGAAGTAGACGCGTTTACAATATTATTTTTTGGGGCGCCATCTTAAAAGTTTCCCTCTCATTCCCTTCTCCCTCCGTTAGAAACAAACTAATTATTCAATTAGAGATTCTGAACAACACCCAATGTTTGCACAGTTAACACTCGAATAGATTAGTCCTGTCTGTCGCTCATCACCACCACAGCGAGACTGGTGAACTATGGGAGAAAAAAGCCAGCCAATTGGTGTAGTGGATGGACACTGACAGCATAAATCTTGCAGTTTCTATCCTCCTTTCCTTCCCTCCTTCCCACTCTGTAGGAAGCAGGGCCTGGCATGTTCCCATGAAAGGTGAGTCTCTTTTGCTCAAGTTAGTTGCCTCTTCCCTCCTTCCTACTCTGTAGGAAGCAGGGCCTGCATGTTCCCATGAAAGATGAGTCTCTTTTGCTCAAGTTAGTTGCCTGCAGGAGCTTTCTGCAATGCCCAGGGATTGTACTTGGAGGAAAAGCATTTCTCTTCCTGTCCTGCTAAAGGGATTCTTTGTGGATCATGTTTGTGTGTCCCACAGAGGGAATGTGCACCGTGTACTCATTTATCAGTGCGGACGTGTTCCTCAGCATCTCATAAAAAGCGTCCACCGTCTTTCGGTAAGCGTCTCTGTGCAGAACAAAAGGCCGGAACAGGTTGAGCGGCTCGGCCTTTTGGAACACCACTGGGAAGTTCAGCACCTCCGGTATCTTCCGGTTCCCGACGAAGAAGTGGTAGAGTTTCTTTTCCTGAAGGCTTTTCTCCAGGAACTTCAGCATGTCTTGCAGCCTGGCCTCAAGGTACTCGGCGGCCCAGTCCTTATAGGGCCGGGTCTGCAGTAAATGCAGCATCACTGTCTTCAAGTGGTAGTTAGTGAGGCTGCTTGGACCGGTTAAACTGCATTGTTTGCCATGAAGGAAAGAGAGGATCTGAAGGCAGCTGAGGTGACAGGCATTGGCTGGCAGCTTTTTGGAGATGGAGTGGATGAACCGCCTCTCGTACACTGCAAAAGTCACAAACCAGTAGGCGCTGGAGGCAGGATCAGCCGTCAGGCCGCTGCGGGGGAAATGAGAGATGAAGTAGGCATCTGAGTCTTCGCACTGCACCACAGGGGTGAGGTGAAAGGCAATGGACTTGCCAGACCTGAATTTTATCTTCAGGGCTCCGGGCGAGTCCAAGAGGCCGAAGGTGAGGTCGAATTCATACTTGTGGGAGATTTTGTTCCAGGCCTTGGTGATCGCGATCTGGAACCACTTCATGACCTGGTCTGCATCCAGATACTGGCTGTTCTTGAAGCATAGCAGATCCTCCATCTCATCGTTGCACTTGGGCTGGTTGTTTGGGCTATGGAGGAGACACAACATGTCCTCCCCCAGCGTAGTCTTGCCACAGATACAACCTGCCACGTCCTCATCCGCCCGGCAGACTTTTATGGTGCCGTAGCCTTGTTTGTCGGGTGGGATCGACTCCCGCGAGCACCAGGTCTGGGATCGGAAACAGTACGGCTCTGGGGGCGTGAAAGGGACAATCAAGTCGCACACCAATGGCTTGTGCACCCTCCAGTTCTCATACATGCTGCCCACCCCTATGGACTCCTCCACCTCCATGTCGGCATCCCGGTTACACACACTCCTCAGGGCCTCCAGCAAGTCGTCGGCAAACCCTTCCACCAGCTCTCGCATCCTCGCCACGTCGCCAGTGGCGCCGAGTATACACCTCTCATAGAAGTTGGCCAAGGCGGCTTTGTCTGGGAGGGCCACTCCCTTGAATGCTTTCCCTAGAACCGCCATGTCGTCCTTCTCGCCGGCAGAGTCCTGCGAGTTCCTACGAAGACAACCATCGAGATGGCGCTCCACACGTCCCAGGCGAAGGGTTCCTTGAGGTTTGGCTCCTCCGTCTCCGGGGCCTTCTCCACAACCTTCAGCGTGACCTCCTGCCTGGCAAGCTCCTGCTCCAAACGCAGCTGCTCCAGCCGGAGGTTCTCCTCGCGCGCCTTCATCTTCTGGATGACGTCCTCCGCGTACTCCGGAACGGTGGCGTTCTCTTTGGGGAAGACACGTCCCAGGCGAAGGGTTCCTTGAGGTTTGGCTCCTCCGTCTCCGGGGCCTTCTCCACAACCTTCAGCGTGACCTCCTGCCTGGCAAGCTCCTGCTCCAAACGCAGCTGCTCCAGCCGGAGGTTCTCCTCGCGCGCCTTCATCTTCTGGATGACGTCCTCCGCGTACTCCGGAACGGTGGCGTTCTCTTTGGGGAAGAGGAGTGGGTGGTTGACGATGGCCGTAATCACCACCAGACACACCCGGAATATCCCTGCCGGCATGGCGGTTCCTTCCCTGCAAGAGAGAGGGGGAGAAAGACCCACGGTCAGTCAGATATTCAGCCTCCTCCCACGTTCAGAGCAGTGAAACCAGGTCATTAATAAAAACCATTTTGCCTCATGTGATCACGTCCTGTCTCTTCCCTCCAGCTAAATACCTGACACAGGGTCTCTGGCACTTTTGGGAGTTCACAAACCGGGTCCCTCCTAGAGGCTTGGAAAGGAAACGGTCTGTCTGGTAAAGCATGTGGGTTCCCAGAGTCGTCCATCGCTCCGCTGCCCTTCAGAGCCAGGAGGAGGAGTCTCTTGCTGCTGTCCCCCTGTTGCGAGTGTTGGAAAGCTCCTCTCTTTGCCCCCATTCGCAGGAAAGTCTTCCTCCCAGCCACGTGAAGGCAGAACAGCAGGCTGGAAGGAGGGCTGGAAAGCTCTCCCTCCTACCACCCAGTTTTGTGCAGAGGAGCACTGCCACTTTAAGAATGGGCAGAGGCATAGTGCACGGGGTGGGACGGAAAATGGTCCTGGTAGGGGCAGGCCAAGGGTACCTTCTGTGCGGGGCCTGCCTAGAGCCCCACTTGCCTTAATATAACCCTCCTAGCTTCACACTCAGCGCTGCTCGTTCCCACGGGGAGTGGGAACGTCACTACCTTGCTGTGTGTCTCTGGGGGAAGAGACACATCCCAAGTCGCTTCCTGCAACTTCAACGTGTCCTGGCCTCACGGCAAAGCCGAGGTCATGCTGGGGCACCTCCGTCCCAGTTTGGGGGGTGCCAGAGCAGGGTGGCATGTGGACAAGGAGGGCGGGTGAGATGGAAGTTCGGAGGGAGCGTTTCCTCACACCCGGAGAGGGATGGCGTGAAATAGAGCTTGCTGGTCTATCACGGCGTGATCCAGTGGGAAACATGCCTGCCAGGTCTGAACAAACACCCCCCTTTTCCCCCAGCCCCCCCCTCCCCCCAACTGGCTCTGCTCTGAAAGAGCTGGGGCCCAACCAGTGCCGTTGTGGTGACATGCAGCACAGTGTGGAGGCTGTTGCTGCTACAACGCCTCCTTTCACCCAGTCTTGGTTTGGGGGACAGCGTCACAGTGCATGCGGGGCTTCATCTGTTCTGGCTCCCATGCTGCACTAGGTTGGAATGGAGGAGTGCTTTGCAACTCAGGGGTTCCTGGGGGCATGGTGAATGGATAAGAGTTAGTATTAAAGAAATTAGTTTTGCTGGGCACAATCCCATTGGCTTACTAGACATCGGCCCAACACTGATTGACAGGCCCAGCGCCGCCTGAGCGAACGGAAAGGAATTCTTCGGGTACTTAGGGGCGGTGTTTCTTTTCTCTCTCTCTCTCCATGGTTAGACATTGCAAAGGTTCTGAGAAGTCACTATCTCTGAAGCTCCTCACAGACAATTTGCACAATAGGGCGTCCACGAGGACTAGAGAAGAGTATTGTGGCTTTCTCTTTCTGCTGGAACATTCAGATGCAACAGACCCTGGGGTGTATGCATGTGTGAGAGACAGAACTTTGCATCGGTGAGACGGAAGGGATTCTGCGAGGAGAATCAAAATACATTCAGATAATACAACGAAAGCCAACCAGAACCAAAGTAGACTACTTCGTAACTAACAAATGTATCCTATATTCTATCTCAGAGGGGTCGCTGTGTGAGTCTGTATCTTTAAAAACAGCAAGTAATCCTGTGGCACCATAGAAAACAAATATATATATATATATAATATCAAGAGTTTTCAGGGGCAAAGCCCACTTCTTCAGATGATGAGCTGGAGGGAAATAACAAAATCCAAGTTATTTATAAACATGGGGGGGAAAAGGTACCGGTCACATGTAGGACCAGAGCAAATGAGGCTAATTAAGTGGGCTGGAAGTGTCCCACACTTAGCAAATTACTTAGACATTAACTGGATGTTGCTTTATAAAGCCAGTCTCCCCTTCCTTTAACTGCACTTTTTACATAAAAAACTAAATACGGGACACTTCCAGCTGTTTTGTCTTCAGTACAAATTCACAAGCTGCTAGTCGACATGGTTTTCTCAGGTCATATTGTAGCATACCCCCACCACCTAGGAATTCATTGTTGCTTCTGTGCTGCACTCATCAGTACTGAATAGCAGCAGAAAGACTAGAACGCCAGTCCTCCTGCTCTAGACACGCAGGCCAACACTTGAACTGAAGAAGACTCACCATTAGGTTGGCAGTATGGGTCATATGACACACAGCTCAGCACTTCTGCCAGTAGGGAATAAGACCTTCACAGACACGAGTCAGTCATGAGACTATATGGTATCATCGTAAGGTACCCCCTTGCCCTTCCACATGAGGATACTAAGAGGATACCATGTCTTTTACTTTTACTGTGAAGGCACTGTTCTAATATTGTCACACTAGCCTGAGAGCTATCCTGACTCCCACTGAGACCACCACTAATTTAGGCATGACGACATGTGGAGCTACATGTTCTACTCCCCATTTGTGTATTCCCCGAGGCACCACATAATTAGCGATTAACTTATGCCGAGGACAGAGACTTAGCCTCTGTGTATTTCCACAGTACCATGTACACCTACCATGTGTTGGAAAGAACACAGGTTGCTATATATTTATCCGTAAGTGGTAGCCTCTGCGCCAGAGAGGGCTGGGACTGGAACAACAAACCAGGCCAGAGGGACACTGGCAGAACAGCACAAGGAAAGTTCACACAGTGCTCAAGACAATGCTAAAAGTCCCTCCCTTACATTCACTCCCAATGTTTTTCAGCCACCCACACCTCCAAATCTAAAGACACTCTCTCTCTCTCACACACACACACACACACACACACACACACACAACTAGAAATCCTTCCCCCTTCCGTGCTAAAAGTCCCTCCCTCACATTCACTCCCAATATTTTTCAGCCACCCACACCTCCAAATCCAAAGACCCTATCTCTCACACACACACACACACACACACACACACACACACACACACACACACACACAAAAGACTAGAAATCCTTCCCCCTTCCCCAATTGTTTCTCTTTTTTTTGCATCTGCCACTCACTCATCTCTTTGTAAAACGGCTGCAAATCGGGGAGACGCAGCTACATCATGAGACTCGTGCCTTGATGTGGTTTAAAAATAAGCTGGGTCACTCCGGTGTCTCTCAGGCTTTTTATCGGTTTGCAAGGGAAAGGCAGGAAATGCGGCCGAGTTCCTGTCCTCGGAGCTGCGTGTTTGCAGAATGGCGTGGACATTTAGAGATTAAAAAAAGCATGGCAAGGTGCCAGAGGCCACGTGCCTTCCGATCCTGAGTAGGGGCTGGTTTACATCCAGGAATTGTACTAATAAAACTAGGTGGGTTGGAAAAGTAGCTTGCTTTTAAAATCGACATTGTCAGATCACTATAAGCCTCGTGTAGATTCAGTTCTGCCAGGTTTGGTAGTAGAGTTCCACCAGTGTGAACGGTGCCTTGTACCAGTAATAGGGTACACCAGTGCAACCCCCTTTTATACCTTAGACTGCATTCACACTGCTTTATCTAGACCAGCATACTTTCTACTGTAGAGAGGTCCAAGTCAGGTTTCAGTCCCTCCAGCGCTGACATAGGCTAGGAACATCCCATTCCCACAGCTCATCCAGTGCAGCTTTTCTGCGAGAAACAACACTGCTACCAACAATCTTCCCTCTAATCTTCTCCATCCCTCTGTGGGGTGATTTTTATGTGCACCAAGGCATGTGCGGATGTGCACCACCAGTAGAACGAAAAACCTAACCAGGGGCGCTCTGCTAATCAGCTGGGCGGCATTTGATGGTACAAGCACCCAGCCTACAGGGGACACTGGCAGGGAGCACTGCCTCTTCGGTGTGCCTGGCCTGACTTCTCACTACCAGACCCTGTTTTCAGTTGCTTATTGTTTTGCCAAGTGTAAACTTTTTGGGCTGCAATGTCCTGTGAGGGATGTCTGACCCAGGCTGTTTTATTTTTGAGTGTTCAGCCATTTCGGAGAACAAGGCTAGGGAACAAGATGTTGTTTTGTCCAGGTTATAAAAGTCGGGTGACTTTTTTTTCCCTGAACTGCTCTAGCGTCCGTGCCTTGTAGCAGGAACTCGACGTTTAGCAAGGGGCAGAGTTCCAAGGAGCCAGGAATGTCATCCCCAGGGAAATCTGCCTAAATGCAGCCAAGTGCCAAAGCTTTGGGGAACGCCCCCCCGTCCCTGTAGCAGTTTGCAGAGTCGAGGGTTCGGAGAGCTGAACGGCTAACATTCCCATAGATGTTTCTTCCCATCCTCAAGCCCCTTTCAGCCCAGCACGGCCCATCCCCTCCCAGTGCCTGTGTGCAACCAGGCTGCTCCTGCACCATCCCTGCAGAGGGACAGAGCCCCCTCCAAACCAGGGTGACAGTGGGGAACGCCAGACTTCCCCAGCAATGGCTGCCCCAGGCCAGGGTGAATCCAGGCATCTAAAGAGAGCAGGGAACCTGTCTCCTGTGCAGTCAGTGACAATGTCCCCCTTCCGCCTCCCGCCCTGGCACCATGTTCCCTGTAAGCTGGGTGAGACGCGGGAGGAGGGAGGGGGGCTGGGTGAGACGCGGGAGGAGGAGGAGGAGGAGTAGGGGGGCTGGGTGAGACGCGGGAGGACCAGAAACTGGCACTGGACAGGCAAAGCGAATGGGCCAGGGAAGTGACGGGCAGGGGGACAGGGCAGAAGAGACCAAGGCTGGGTGTTGGGGGTGGGGGAAGGAAGAGAAAGAAGGGGCCCCAGGAGTCCCATATCTCACTACTTTTCTGTGAAGCCCACTGGCAAACTGTGGGCCTCCGCCCGGCCTCTAGCTCTGCTCCTCGCATGGGGCATGACGCGCGACTGCTGCGACGTTACAGACAGCTGCCTCCCTCCCTGTGCTGCCCCACTCCTCCATCCAGGGAGCTGAACAAGGCAGGGATCCTGTGGGGGAGAAGCAGTGTGATCTCGTCTAACCAAAGGCTGTTTCACAGGGGCACGTGCACACGGGGCGTGGAGGGTGCCCAATTAAGATTACAGAGGCAACCTTAACGCTGGCATTTCCTAATGTTTGAGCGGGTGATTTTGCAACCTTCATAATGTTCTCTTACCATCCCTTTTCGGGGGTAATAGTGGGATACTTCGCCTTTCTAGAGTGCTGTATGATGACAGCCAGACATCCTGCTGCATATTGTGCCCCTTTGTAAACTGAGGCACAGAGCGGTGGCGGGACATTCCCCAGCTTTGCTGCTAAGTGAGCGTGGGTATTGAACCTCGCCCCACACCGGCATGCTTTCTCCACTAAGCCACGCTGCCTTCTGGAGCCGAGTGGCGTGCAAGGTACTCTACAGAGCTAGGCAACCTCTTGTATGCTCAGGCTGTAAAAATAAAGGGGGCTGTGCAGGTTTGCCTCAAAACTCTGCCTAGGTGCCTCAGCCCCAAGTGCATGGACCCCTCCTAGCCACACTTGGGCACAGTCAGCCGTGGCAAAAAACGGGAGTTTTCTTCTGTGACTCGACGAAGGGAAATGAGACCAGTCGTGCGAGACCAAATTCATCCCGATAGATCAGGCCAGAAGAGGCCACTGTGATCTACTAGCCCTGTCTCCCATCTGAATGCAAGCCAGGTGTATCTCGGTCTGCCCCTTCGTGCTGCCTTTCGCTCCCACCGTGCTGCTTCCAGGGACGAGCAAGATGGGCAGGGACCCTGGTCCCAGCAGTCGAGACCATCCACCCATAGTCCTGTCTGCTTCCTGCATCCCCGGCCCAGACGTGCAGTGTGGCCCAGTCAGGTCCACGCACCCCTCGGATAACCTGGTCCCACCCCCCACTTGGAAAACCTCTGCTCCTGCTCTCACAGAGATTCAATCAGCAAAGTTCATTGGCCTGTGCTGTACAGGTCAGACTAGGGAACACAGTGGTGTGGCATGAACTGAAGCACTAATGGCATATTGGGGGAGGGGGGCCAGAGAGAAAGGGGGAACCTTTCGTCCATGGACCCACAAAAATCTAAGCTTTCACTAAGAAAAGTTCCAGCTCTTCAGAGCGGCAGAGAAAACTCTATGGAGATGCGCCGTTAACTACTGCAGTGCTGTCTTCCTGAGTCCACCACAGCTCCCTCCACTGCCTTTGCTGCTGCTCATACTTTGGCCAAGTTGCGGCAACAGGGCTAGAACCTACTGAGAACCAAGGAGCAGCCGTGCGAGACTCCAGCCCGTGTCCTGCTAACACGGAGGCACACTCAGAAGCCTGTACTGGCGCTGCTCCTTGGGAAGACCTGCCCCCCCCCAAATCTCCACCAAATGGGACTTTACTTCAATACCATAGATCGGTTCCCCAGCTGCCCTTCTCACAGCAGCCAGGCAGCTCTGGAGGCAAGAGGAGGGACAGAGCAGAGCTTCTCCCTGCCAACAGCCAGCATTTCAAACTTACACTCTCGCTGCTTAGAGGCAGATCCAGTCACACAAAGCCCAGGCTCAGGATCCTGGTATACATGCCAGCGCGCCCTCTTCCCAGCCGCCGGTGGGACGTCTTCCGAAGGGGTCACTGCTGGGCTTTCCTGTTGGAATCTCTCCACACGCCCCTCTTTCGTCCCTGCCTGTCAGCTGGTGGGTTTAAGTCCCCCACCTAGCAAATGCCTGGTACATTCTTCCAAGCCCCGAGTATTATCGTCCGACTGGAGCCAGGCTGCAGAACCAGGTTGCAAGTCGGTGTCTCTCAGAGCCGCTGCACATCCGAAGTGGGGCAAGACTAGCTGCCTCCAAACAGACTCTCCATTTCACGAGGCAGGGGCATGCCAGGGCAGGGCACGCTGGCGTGGAGCCCTGCTCCGGGAGAGGGCGCGGCTGTTCCTCTGGCGTGGGATGGATTATGGCTGTTGCATCTAATCCAAGTGCTGAAACACACTGGGAACTCTAATATTTGGAGATGCATTACCTCTCTCCTGGCGCTTGCCAGCTGGCGAACTGCGTCAGCTGTAACAAAGCAGCTCATTCGGGTTTGCTTTGGGGTAGCTCCTAGTACAGACCTGGGCAGGGGAAGGGATGTTTGGTTTCCATCACCCAGGGCGATAAAACCTTCATCACCGATAATTCTGCCAGGGCTGAATGGTCAAGTGCCAGAATCGTACTGAGCAGTGGGAGGACTTCGCACTCTGCTACCCGCTGGTACTCATCCAGGAATACTGGCACTGCCAGCCTGGATACTGCCAAAAGCAGAGAACCAAGAGGAGCAGTCACCTGGAAAGGGATAACGCTCTGAGGAGCTCCTGGTGAAACAGGCGATACTGAATCAAGGGGTGTTTCAGCCAAGACCAGGAATCCCATGGCACTGTAAAGACTAACAAATATATTAGGGTAGAGGTGGGCAAGAGAGCCTCTCCGGGCTGAATCTGGCACGCAAAGCGGGTTGATCTGGCCTACGGCTGCCCTGCCACTCCCCTACCCAAAGGCCAATGAGACCCGGGGATGGGAGAACATGCAAAGTCTCCTCCTCCAGCCAGGTGTGCGCGGCACTAGAGGGAACCTCCAGCAGCGTGGGGCAGGAGGCAAGAGACTTCTTGTGCTGCCCTGATTGGCCTGGGGGAGGAAAGAGCATGCAAAGTCTCCTCCCACCGCCAGGGGCGTGCGGCACCGAGAGGGAACCGTCAGCTGTTTAAAAACAGCTGGAGGGTCTCTCTAGGCCAGTGTTTCCCAATTGGTGTTCCACGGAACCCCAGGGTTCCGTAAAGCGAAAGTAAGGGTTCCGTGAGAAACCGGCACTCCCCTGACCCGTTAAAGAGACAGAGACAAATTGCGTTTTTTTTCTTCCCTCGGAACCTAGGGGTTCCGTGAAATTCTTTCAAGTTAAAAAGGGTTCCATGGCCAAATAAAATTGGGAAACGCTGCTCTAGGCACCAGGGGGCAAAGATTTCATGTGCTCCCTCTGCCCCCAGGCCAATCAGGCAGGAAAGCATAGGAAGTGTCCTGGCTCCAACCCTTCCACCCGAGGCCCCGCCTCTTCTGGGGCAGCCCAGCGGTCTCCCTTCAAAAATTATTGCCCACCCATGTATTAGGACATAAGCTTTCGTGGGCCGCAGCTCACTTCATCAGATGCATGAAATGAAAGAATCCGACGTCAGGGATTTATACATACACAAAGAGATGGGAGACTCTCTATGCCAAGGACTCAGTGGACACACATAAGACACCAAGAACAAACAAAACACACAAAAACCAGCAGGCAAACACTTCAATCTGGCTGGATACTCAGTTACAGACTTGAAAATTGCCAGACTTGAGCACACACAATTTCAAAACCAGACTGCAGCAGGAAACGGCGGAGCTGGAATTCATACGCAAACGTGACACCATCAGAATGGGTCTGAACAGAGCCTGGGAATGGCTCCTCACAATTAGTATGTTTCCCCTTCAGGTATTCTCACCTTCTTATCACTGTTGGGAGTGGGCACATCCACCCTGATTGAATTAGCCTTCTTAGCAGGGATGTGACACTCCCATCTCTGTATGTATGTATAAAATCCCTGCCATCTGCTACTTTCACTCCATGCATCTGATGAAGCGAGCTGCAGCCCACAAAAGCTTATGCCCTAATAAACATGTTAGTCTTTAAGGTGCCACGGGACTCCTTATTTTTATTGACCAGAGGGAGATTAAAGACAGCAATGCTGAATA